GGCTTTGCTCTCAATGACAACTGTGTAAAGCTCATTTCCCAGTATGACAATGAATATGGCTATGGCACCAGGATGGTTGACCTCATGGTCGCCCAGGGGTAAAAATCTCTGTGTGGACAGAGGTTTCTGTCCCACCTGGTCCACTGCCATTTAGTCCTAAAGAAACACACAGAGGCTTATATTAATTTTAAACTATTTGGCCAATGGCTCAGGCTTCTTATTGGCTAGCTCTCTCTTAATTACTAACCCATTTCCATTAATTTGTGTATCTCCACATAGTCTTGGCTTATCGGTGATGGGAAGGTCCCTTTCTTGCTCTGCAGCTACAAGGTGTCTCTCTGCCTTCTTCTTCCCAGTATTCTCCTAACCTGGTAGCCCTGCCTATACTTCCTGCCTGGCTACATTGGCCAAAACAGCTTTATTCATCAACCAATAAGATAAGCATATATTCACAGCACTCAGAAGGTCATCCCCAATCAGCTCTGGACCACACACCCTAGCAAGAACATGAGAAGAAGAGAGGCCCTCTAATGTTGAAGAGTTCCTGTTCCTATCAGCTTCCAACACTGAGCATATCCCCTCATAATTTCCATCCCAGGCACCCAGGAGAAGGCAAGGAGCTCTACTCTTTTGAATATCGTCACTGCACCTCTCCCCAAATTATAAATCAGATGAAGATCCTAACAGGCTTTATAAGCAGTACTGAAAACCCACACATTTTAAATGTCCTCACATGTTCTAGGCCTGGGTTATTTATGCTTATTCCATTTCATTTTCACAACAGCCTACAAGACTAATGCAGATGACATCTGAATGTTGAACTGCTTGCTGGTTCAAGCCATAACACTGATTCGGATTTTTGTTGCTGTTGTTTTTGAGATTATAAAATAAATACAACATTTCTTCCTCCTTCCCTCCAATCCTTCCTCTCCTTACTCCTCCTTACTCTCTTCAAATTCATGTCTTTTTTCATTGTTATATGTATATAGATATGTGTACATACCTACGTGAAATATTCCTGAATATAACCTGGCTTCTATGTATGTCTTCAGTGCTGACCTTATTGTACTGAAAAACAACCTATGCTCTTTCTTGTTGGTTTGGTTTTTGAAGAATGGTGTCTCTAGCTCAGGCTTGCTAGAAACTCCCTATGCAGCAGAGACTGGGCCTCAAACTTGTGATCTTCCCACCTCAGTCTCTGGGTGCCGGGTTTACACGCCTGTCCTGATGATACCAAGTGACCTAGCATCTCATCCCTCTGAGATAGTGAGTTAGTTGCACTGAGCTGCTGAGCTCTACAATCATCATTTGCCTATGATGGACTCACACTGTCTCAACAGATAAAAACTCAATCGCTCTCTCTCTCTCTCTCTCTCTCTCTCTCTCTCTCACACACACACACACACACACACACACACACACACACACAAAATTCCCAAACTGAAAAACTTCAGAACTTTTATAACAGCACAATTGTCACAATTACAGGAATAATTTTATGTCTGCTGACTCTAATAACACCTGTGGGATTGTATGTAATAACCCACCCCACTTCATTTTGTTTTTGCAAATGTACTGATCTGGGTTGGAATGGTTGGAAATTTAAAACAAAAATAATCCTCAATCAACCTAAAATCCCACTCTGGCCATCTGTATCTACTTCATTCATCAATCAGGGCAGCTGCTCAGTGTAAACTAGGTGAAATAGATTCAGCCTGTTTCTGCAGCATTGTTACTAACCACCAAAGACAGCTGCTCCTTAGCAACTGAATCTAAAAAACACAAGATGCCACACAGGACCTCATTTATGGAAGGCGAGCTGTGGCCTCCTTTACAAGTCTAGTTTTTTTTACTTCCCCATACGCTGAAAAATTGGCATCTTCATTACCATAGTTATATATAATTAATTTGACAACTAAAATTTTTCTTTGTTTCATGATTCAAAAATTCATGAAGGTAGTTTCCAGGCCTAAAGGCAAAGAAAGCCACACAGACAAGGAGAAAGGTGGTTTGCAAGTGAGGGGAAATTAATGGCATACACTTTTTAATTGTCAGGTGTAACAAGTGGACTCTGCCACAGCAATTTCAGACCACTCATTTCTAACACTAATGCTGTAAGAATTAATGAGCCCACCAGTCATCTAATTTTATTTCTGTATTGAGAAATTCTTCAGACAGATATGGAGGTGCATGTTTTTAATCCCAGCTTTAGGGAAGGAGAGATAGGTGGATCCTTGTGAAATCGAGACCAGCCTGGTCTATACAGTGAGTTTCAAGACAGCCAGGACTACACTGAGAAACCCTGCTTCAAAAAAACAAACAGCTCGGCTCTGGTGATGCACACCACACTGGATCAGAGGCAGATGCAGGCGGATCTCTGAGCCAGTCAGGCCTACAAAGCAAGTTCCGGGACAGCCAGGGCTGCTACACAGAGGAACCCTGTCTTTAAAACCCAAAACAAACAAACAAACAAAAATTTCAAAAACCAAGTTTGAAAAAAGAAAGCTTGCCAGGCATGGTACTGTACACCTTTAATCCCAAAACTTGGGAGGCAGAGACAGGTGAATCTCTGTGAGTTCAAGGCTAGCCTGGTCTACAGAGAGAGAGTTCCAGGCTACACAGAGAAACAACAACAAAAAAGCCAAACAAACAAACAAACAAAAAAGACAGAAAGAAAGCCAAAAACCAATTTATAAATTGCTTACTTCAATTAAGCCCTGGCTGGTGGTGCAAATCTTTTATTCTTGAGAGGAGGCAGGCAGGTAGATAGATCCCTGTGAATTTGAGGCCAACCAGATCTACAGAGAGAGTTCCAGGCCAGTCAGGCCTCTACAGTGAGACCTTGTCTCAAAACAAAAAACCTAATTAATTTTACCTCAGTTAAAATATTTAAATATATAAATCAATGCAAGTCTCACAAGTGTCGCCCTAATAATACCAATCCAATTCTAACACAATCATAATACATCGGGGCTAGAGAGATGACTCCATGGCTAAGAGCACCACTGCTCTCCCAGTAGATCTGAGTTCAATTCCCAGCACCTACATGGAGGCCCATTATCATCTGTTACACTAGTTCTAAGGGGTCTGATGCTCTCCTCTGGCCTCTAAGAGCACCAAGTACACACATGGTGCACAGTCACCTATGCACACAAAACACTCACATAAAATAAATATTTTAAAAGAAAGAAAATATAATGTTAGAAGGAAAACAGGAGGTTCAGAAAGCCTAGGCAGGAAAGCAACCCAAAAGAAGGGCTTTGCTTTCACTGTTTAAGGAGAACTGTGTGTGCACATCACCTGCTGACTAGCTCTATCCAACTGCTACCTTAACCAAAGACAGGAAAACACAGTAACAAAAATTTAAATACGCTAATCTAACCATCTGTGGGCTGGACCCATCTATGAACTACGTAGTACATGTACTATGTACCCTTGCCACGATGGACAGTGAGTGAGAACAGCTCTGAGTCAGAGCAGCTCATTCCAAGATACTTTTTCAAGTTACATAGCCTGTTTCCTTGATTGTAGCTCAATGAGTCTGTTGTTTGGGGATTTGACTATGTTGGTGCTACAAACCAAACCTAGGCCTTGCAATTCTAGGCAAACACTACTATTTGGATATATCCTAGTCCTTTCAATGAATCAAGTTATGTAATATATATAACTTTTTCCTTTAAGCGTTATCGTTAGGGGTTAGAAAGATGTCTGAGCAGTTAAAAGTACTGCCTGCTCTTTCAGAGGACCCAGGTTCAATTCCCAGCACTCACATAGTGGCTCATAACCCTTTGTAACTCCAGTTCCAGGGGACCCCAGGATGTCTGGCCTCCAATGATGCCAGGCATACATGTGGTACACAGATATAAATGTAGGCAAAATATTCATACACATATACAAAATAAAACTAAATAACTTAATGTTACCATTATATCCCAAAGGGCGCAGATGAAAAAGACAATGGAAAGGGGGAGACAAGTCAAAGTCAAATGTTTCTTCTCCATGGCGGAAGGCTCTTTCCCCCACTGCCTTGTCTCACCACCCTTTCTACCACAGGCTGCTGCTTTCACCATCAAAGCCTCTTCTTCCAACTCTCTTCAAGGCCTACCTCCTGTCTCACCCACACCTCATCGTCCTTTGAGGCAATCAGACCTTTCAGGAACAGAACTGCGGGCAAGGGCTTATTTCAGTACCGATGTGGAGGACAAAGCCATGACATTCTCTTGAATGGAGTAATTTTTCTCCCTAAACCACTGAGCTCTGTGCACCTAGGGAACTCTTCTGAGACAATCTAAAGAATAGATGTGTGTATCTTTTCTCCTCCTCAGCTAGCCACTGTTTAAGGGAAGACAACCCAACAAATGAACCAAAGCATCCAAACATATCAACCAGAAAGTTTATTTCTAAGCAAACAGATTTGAAAATAATCATAGAATATCCATTCCAGTCCTTGGTTTCCTTAAAAGGAAATGATAACAACAACCTACGTTAGTTTTGTTTTTTTCACATGGACAAAGTCATAGTCTCCATTTCTCTTTATATGGTACTCTGATTCCTTGAAACCTCTGGGAACCATCAGAATGTAACTATGATGCCTCTCTATAAGCAAATGCACTGGGCCCCACCATTTTTGTGTATAGTTTTCAGAGGTCTCTGAACGCTCTAGCTTCTTTAGCAGATAATCGGTTAAGATTTAAAGAGCAGAACCAAGTGGTGGTGGCAACAGCCTTTTTAATCCAGCAATTGGGAGGCAGAAGCAAGTGGATCTCTTAGTTCGAGGTCAGCCTGTTCTACAAAGTTCCAGGACAGCCACAGCTACACAGACAAACCCTGTCTCAAAACAAAAGATCCATAGAGCTGAACTATGAACTTGGTTTCTACTGTGAACTGTTATATCTTTTCCTTATTGAGATCTTAGAGCTGAGAAACTGCTTCTCTTTGCAAATATTATTAGATCTAGCACCATTCTAACACTTGTGGGGAAAACACGGAAAATTTCTTACCTCTGAGAAATTAACAGCCAAAGGAATGATTCCAGCCACGTAGCATCCCACCAACATTGCCAAAGACAGCAGACCGATGGAGAGAAAATCATCCATTCTGCCCTCCTGTAGTCACCAGGCTTCAAAATTCCAGCGGTTTGAAAAGGCGCTTAGGCTCTTTAAACGTGCGGTTTTCCAAGAGATCAAGGGAGCTCCCCACTGCTTTCAACCTTGCCACCAGCCGGTGTGTTCACCAAGCACGCAGCTCTCTTACGTACTAAGAGGCAAGCTCCTTTTTGCTGATACTAGCACCAGAGAAAACTTCGCGCAATCTTAGGGGCTTGGATGGCAGTCACTGTGATTCCGGCAGGTAACAGATGGAGAAACTGTGTCTTCGGAATGAGGGTGGCACAATGACCCACTCCCCTGGACAGTGCGTCTGGTTCCAGCAAGAGGACGGCAAACCCAAGTGCCTTGTCTTCAGGCGGCACCTGGTTCCCTAAGGTGGCCCCGCAGGTGGTCCGCCCCCAGGGAAGGGACCAGCCCACCAGTCCCAGCAAACTCCCTTCCAAGTCTGGAGTCGAGCAAGCTGTCCCGCAAGGCTCTAACAGTGGGTCCCGAGGATTCAACAGCAAAGTCGATATAATGCTGTCTCTGCCCTACACCGGCTGCAGCCCAAGGTACGTCCCTCAGCCAGGCCCTGACCCTGAGTCGCCAATACTACTGCTGCCATGGCCGCCAAGTGGCACCTCTTCATTACTCCTACTTCCGGATTGTCTCGCCACCCCCTCTTTAGCAGGGTACTTCCGGGTTACAACCGACCTATAAGCCGCGGTACTTACATTGCCGCCATTTTTTGGAAAGGCTTAAAAAAGATAACACTGCTGTCACTGTTGTGTTCCCCACCACTTTAGCTACCTGTCTGCTAAGTGAAGTACAGAAGGCAGCGTCCCGAAACAAACTATTGTTTCTAAAGCTGCAAAATGTTCTCTTACACATCTCAGCGCCCTTACCCAAGATGGCTGAAACGGAGTCGACATCCGCTCTCGAGGCCGGAAGTGTGTGAATCTCTATGGCCCAAAAGGCTCTTTCGTGTCGTGCTTCCGGCGATTTCCGGCGACTGCTCTCGCGGGATTGGCTGTTGGCGGCGTTGCGGCTGAGCTCGTGTGCGGCGGCGGCGGTGTTAGCGGCGGCTGCAGCAAAGTGTTCGGCGCGATGGTAAGGCCTCGGCGGTTCCCGGAGTCCCCAACATGGAGGGCCACCCCTGCTCCGTACATCTTCCCATTCCCCCTGTCCCCGCCCATCCGGCGCGAGCGAGCTGCTCCCCGCCTCCCAGGCTCGCGGGTCGACCCTTTCCCATCTCGGCGCCGAGACGCGGGCCCTGGCCTTAGGCCCCGGACCTGGTCCGCCCTGCGGCTGCGCGCCCTCCTGCTGGTGGGGGCGAGGTGTGCGGTGGGCAGAGCGTGCACTGTTTGCGTATCGCTGCCTGGAAGAGGGAGGCGTGGGGGGCTCGTTCTCGCTCTCTCCAGATGCACTAGCGGACACTAGGAACAATGGCGGGGAACGTGTGTCAGACTTTTCCCCGAAACCGACTCACTCATCACTTTACTGTTCGCCGCATGTGGGCCTGGGGGTTCGGATTCGCCTTGCACTGCTCCTCTTCAGCCGTCCCCGCAGTGTTCAAAAACAAAAAAAAATGTATTTTCCCTTTTTCAGTAGCTTCAGTTGCCCTGTTTGGTAATCCCACCAGCCTTCGATCTTGTTCCTACTTAGGTTTACTTTAGAGAGTGCAGCCTGAAAAGAGACACCAGGGTCCGGGCTCTAGAATCTGACAGGGGGGTAGTAAAGTATGCTTTTTTAACGTTCTGTAAAGGTTTTTTTGTTTGTCCGTTTGTGCATGTGAGTACAGGTGCCTGCTGAGGCCAGAAGAGGGTGTGAGGTTCCCCAGGATCTGCAGTTACAACTGGTGGATGTGGGTGCTGGGAACCAAACTCAGGTCCTCTGTGAGAGTAGCACATGCTCATAACTACTGAGCTCTCTTCAATCCTCCCGATGTTATTTTGATTGGGGGGGGGGGTTAAAGAATTTTTCCCTTTTCTGTGTATAGGTGTTCTGCCTGCATTTCTCTGTGCCACTTGCATGCAGTGCCTGCGGCAGACAGAAGAGAGTGTCCTTTCCCCTGGAATTGGAATTACAGATGCTTATAAGTGACCCTGTGGGTCAGGGAATTGAAAAACTGATCCCTTGAAAAGACAGCTTGTGCTCTTAACCTCTAAGCCATCTCTGCAGTACTCCAGCCCTCCTCTTAAGCAAACCAAAAGGGAGAGGTTCATAGGATTTACTTAGAGCAGGATTGTGTGTGTGTATATACACTTTTCAAATGTATTCAAATTATTCTTTAACATGCCTTCAAATTTAAAAACTGGCAAAGAGTGAATAACTTGTGGGATGAGCAAACTAGTTAGTTGTGTTTTAATAACATTTGCTTCATATACATGGGCCTTATGTTGTGATGTGAATTTCTGAAGTGCATATTAGGCTGTACATTGAAACTCTTTTTCCCTTCAGTCTCACACCATTTTGCTGGTACAGCCTACCAAGAGGCCAGAAGGCAGGACCTACGCTGACTATGAGTCTGTGAATGAGTGCATGGAAGGTGAGTGGTCAAACTGATCAAAAATGAAATCTTGAAGTCCTCCAAATACACACACCATACTCTTGTGAGATAAATAGCATTTGAGAGCTGGAATTGTTCCACCCAACCCCCCAGATCTCTTGAATTACTATTTTAAGCAATGAAAGTCTATTTTTAGCATGGACTGTTAAAAAAATATTTTGTTATGGCATATAGGTATTTTACCTATAGCTCTTATGTATTCTGGCTAAACTGTAGCATTGGAGTTGTTATGGTTGGCTCTGAATACCTTTTGAAACTTTATAACCAATAAATGTTGGTTATAAGGTGGCCAGGCATAGGGGCACGAACCTTTAATCCCAGCACTCAGGAGGCAGAGACAGGCAGATCTCTGAATTGAAGCCAACCTGGTCTACAAAGAGTTCCAGGACAGCTAGGGCTGTTACACAAAGAAACCCTGTCTTGTAAAACCAAAATAAGAAAAGAAAAAAGCCCATGAGAATGTTAGAAAATAAGTAAGCTCAGAGAAAGCCAAGCTTCACAGAAGCAGATCAGTGTGATCTATTGTGCATTTGCTAAACCTCCACTCCCACCCAGGGAACAATTAACTCTTAATGTTTCTTCACTGGTAAACCATTCGAGCACAGATTGGTTTATTTTTCTCTGCAAAGTGGATTTGGTTTTGTGCTTAGTAATTGCATTGTATTAACTGGTTGTGCTGCCCTACATTGTTTCTTTTTTGTTGTTGCTTGTTTGTTTTGTTTTGTTTTTCGAGACAGGGTTTCTCTGTATTGCTTTGGAGCCTGTCCTAGAACTAGCTCTGTAGACCAGGCTGCCCTTGAACTCACAGAGATCTGCCTGCCTCTGCCTCCCAAGTGCTGGGATTAAAGGCGTGTTTGTTCTTTGCCTCTTTACTATCAAAAGGTTATATATAGTTGCTTTGATTTGACTGTCAACAAGTCCCTAAAATTTGATTATTCAAAACTAACTGGGTTAGGCTCCTCTAACAGTGATTAATAATGCCTCTAAAAACAAAAACTGCTTATAATCAAAGGTGGCTTCGAGGTAGCTAGTGCAATAATACCCTTGGCACTTCCGTCAGATTTTGCTTGTAAAGATGAAAGGGGGGAGATGGTAGCACACACCTTTAAGCTCATCACTTGAGAGGCAGAAGCCTACCACCATAGCATGTCTCTGGGTCTTTGTTTTCATGTCTGGGTTATGGACAGTGACCTTTCTAGCCTTTATTAATCTTAGTAAAGTCTAACTTTGTGTATTTGTGACAGTTTTGATACCTATCCAAGCTAACCTAGAATGCAAGAGTCTTCTACCTTGGCCTCTTGAGTATTGGGACTATAAATATGTACCACTGTGTCTGCATCTGTTTTATTTTTTAATTAATGTACCTTAATTGATGTATGGGTTTAGGTTTGTAGAAAACTGAACAGAATATAAAGTTAGTTGTGTGTGCATATAGCAACACCCACCCCTCCACTGACACTTCTATCCATTAACATCTTACCTTGATAGGGTACAGTTGTTATGGTGGTGAACTGGAGCTGACACATTGATAACTCAGTTTTGTAGTTTACATTAGTGTTCCTTATGTGTTGTGCAGCTCTGTAGAATTTTGCCAAATTTATTGGCTGATGGTCTTGTCAATATATAGTTATAAAGAAAGGCTTCATTCCCCTTCTGTACCTGTCCCACCCTCCGGACCAACTACCAGTCTTTAAACCTTTAATATACCTAATGCAGTGTAAATGTTATATAGATAACTATTACACATTTTTTGTTGGGGAAAATAAGAAAAAGTCTGTAAATATTCAGAAACTGTGGAATTTGTTTTTCAAACATTTTTAGATTAAAATTGTAGTTTATGGGCTTGCAATGTAGCTCATTCGATAGAGTGGCTTGTCTTGAATGCACAAAGCGTGAATTTGTTCCTTGGTACCACATAAACAAGTATAGGGGTATGCACTTGTAATCCAGCACTTGGGAAGAGATGGCAGGAAGGTGGGAAGTTCAAGTTTATCCTCAGCTATAGTGAGTTCAGAGCTAACCTAGGATACATACGACATTATTGAAAAGAGAAAAGTGGTTTTGTTCCCATTTTAAAAAGTTAAAAGATGGGTGCTGGTTATTACCATCATTATGTAATCCTAGCAATTAGGAGGCTGAGCCAGGAGGAGTCCAAGTTTGAATCCAGCTACATAGTAAATTGCAGGACAGCTTAGCTGAATACTGGGTTGCTTTCTGATAAAACCCCGGGTTGGGAAAGGTACAGGGGAGGCTGAGAGGCTGGGGTTTAGCTCAGTGGTAGAGCATTTGCTTAGCATGCTTGAAACCCTAGTTTCAAGGCTACCACTGCCAATAACAAACACTTTGTCTTCCTTGAACAACTACCTTTATGGCCCCCCTCTCCCACTCCACAGGTGGCTTCAGTTAAATTTGTTGGTAAGAGCTGTATTTTATTATGTCGTATATGTTTTGGAGGTTATTTTGGATTGTATAGAAATACAGCTAATTTTCATATATTGATTGTGTGTGTTACAGTCTTGGTACCTCATTCATTAGTTCTATTGGTGTTTTGTTAAATTCTTGCCTTGTTGATCTGGCCTGTAGTGGAGTGCTGAGTAAAGTTTCCTTCCTGGTGGTAGCAGATAAGCAGTCTGTGACCACTAAACATGACAGTAGGGACAGGTCAGTGCCTTTTAATTTTATCAGTTTTGTGATTTCAATGTAGTATGCTAGTAGCAATGAAAAGGGATGTGGTGGGGAATAGCTTAGCCAGTAAAGGAATACTCAGCAGTGAGTGTGAGAGCCCCACAACGTGTAAACAAGCCAAACTAATTAATGCTAAGGTGTAGAAACAAGTGCATCCCAGGGACTGGCCAGCCTAGCCTGGGTGAGCTGCAGGCTCAGAGATGAAGGAAGCTGACATTTCACCTCCTTTTGTGCAAATACATACAAAAACATGTAAAATAGTTAACGAGATACTTCTGTTACTGAATGTAGCCTTTCCCTGGAAATTTTAACAAGTTATTTTAGAGATATGCCTTAAAAGTTTGTGTTTTACAATATAGGGCATATTGCCCATAGGTAACTAATATTGATATCACTTGTCCTTTGAGTGTTATTAGCAATGGACTGAAAAGGTATATTCCCCCATTTATAGAATGCTTCACTGGTTGGATATTAACCGGTAATATGTTTTGTTGATAATTGTTAATATAC